ATACCTGACTTATGATGCAAAAACTTTTGTAGAGTGCTGGAACTGACTCAGCTGTAAATTTGTGGTTGGCGTCTCTACCAAACAATGATGGCTCGGTCTCAGATAGGTATAAAATTTTTTTGGTTGATGTACTGTGTTGCTGTAATCAATACTGTATATTGATGTCTAGTGACTATCCTTGTTTTGCCAGTTTGGAGTCACCAGCCAAGTCACCCGAGACATTGCTCAATTCATACAATGACTATGAAGACAGTGTTTATGGTGAATTTTCTTAATTGATGCAACTTGTGACTCTTTTTTCAGCTCTGCTGCTGGAGTTAAGTTTGCTGCTTTTGTTTTGTTCAGGTCTTGCTTGGAGTTCTCGGGAACCATGGATATTTGCTTCATTGTCTTACGATGGAAGTGTAAGTATTTAATCCTGTATGCCATCAGTTGTTTGGTAGTCCATGTTATATACAGAGTCCAAAAATTTTGTTCCCCAGTAAGTCCTGATTGAAGATCTGATAGATTAAGCATTTCTTGTGCATGACACAACTAAGTTAATGCTAGGTTATATGTTTTGTTGAAAACCTGAGAGTTTACTGTCTTTACAACTAAGCATTTGTAATAATTCTACTGATTGTTTTGAAACGTCATGATTATGGCTCAAAAGTATGTTCATACTAACTCAGCATTCCTGGATAAGTGTAATGAATTCATAGTTTTCAGAATCAAAATGCCACCCTAGAGTGGTTTAGATTGCTATTTTGAGTTCTGACTCGTTACAATATGATATGTTGCTTCCACTAACTTTTTTTTTTTTTTTTTTTTATTTCTTTATACAGGTGGTTGTGGAATCAATAAAACCTCATCTTTCTAGAAAATGAAAGTTAACAATATGTAGTAAGTGAAAATTCTTAAGCAAAATTATCTTGTGCTGATCTCTGATACTCATGGAAATACTTTAGAAACCTGAACCTTCTGAGACAGATATTACACTACGGCAAAGCTTACTCTGTCGTTGAAGATGTATTTGCACGTTTTAGCCTTGGTTTAGTTTGTAAGATGGATTTCTTTGTTTGTGTTTCAAAATATTACTTGGTCCTGATTCACCTTTACCTTTACCGGCAACTGATTGGTGCAGTCTTGGCCTGTTGTTTTTTCCCCCCTTCTCTTTTTTCTTCTATGAATTATGCAAGTTGAATAGGTTGCTTGAAACTTGTAGCACATGGTGACACAATATCATATTATGGGCTAATTCCACTACCCACCCACCTACCCACCCATGTAAGAGCATCTCCAATGGCCTTTGGATTGCCTTATTTTATTGTCACATGGCACAAAAAAACTTATGTGGCATAAAAAAATTCTAGAAGTCATTCTAGATGTAGAAGTACTTCTAGACAACTTCTATTATATATTATATTATTTATTTAATTTTTTTCTTTTTATTAACCAATTATAATTCGCACATGTCAAATAAACCATCTTCAACATTAACCATTGAAGATACAATTTTTTAATCTCCCTACTTCATGCCATTCTGTCCAAAATAGACAAGATATCATTGGAGATGCTCTAAGAGCATCTCCAATGCAACTTTTGACATTATAAAAAGTCATCCATATCATCAACTTTTGAAAGTTTCTCCAATGCATCTTGTCATGAACTCTTTCATGATGAGGTGGATGTCATTTAATGTTGACAATATTGAGCACACTTTCTAATATCTAACACCATGTTAAACATGATGACTCATCAATTTATTTTATATTTGTTTTAATTTTTTATTTTTTTGTATCAATGAATTATTTAATTGGTCCACCTATACAAATAACTTTTTATTAAATTGATGCATTGGAGATACTAGTTTCATTGAAATTTTTAGTCTTTTAACATTATTCTAATGTAAATTAACATTACAATCACTAATTGACATATGTTAAAAATAATGATCTTTCACACTTATAGCATTGAAGATAGTCTAAGTGTGTGTTGAATCGACAGCTGTCCACGCGGGTAGGGTGAAATTCACTCATATTCTGTCTATTGAGTTTATCGCCAAATATGAAGCGTCTCGGTCTTTTTGTCGTTCTCTTTCCCGGTCAGATGCCACGAGAGAGCTTGTGGACAATGAATTTCATCTTTTTTTTCAAGTTCCTTTATTACTGGAAGTAATAATTGAAAAGTCTCGTCTTTTTTTAGTCCTAAAAGGTCAAATGAAGTCTCAACTTTTTTGATAGTCTAAATAAAAAAGTCACATGCGTACTTACGAGTTTATAACTTGATGGTTGGTTAGATGCAACTTTTGAATTTATAGGTTCATAATTATGAGTTTAACTTGAAGGTGGGTTAGATGCAACATTTGAATTTATAGGTTTATTAATTATTTTTGTAGAAAGAGAAAATCATGACATCATCATGTCTTTAAGGAAATAAAAATATAATGTATAATAATATTTATATATATTAATATTTATTTATCATAAAGTAAAAATCATGAAATCATTACGTCCTTACTTTATTATTTTAATAGAAAAAGAAAATCATGACATCATCATGTCTTTAAATGGAATAAACAAATATGTATTATAGATAATATACAGTAATGATTATTTATCATCGCATTCCTTATATCATTTGGATGAGGACACGATTGACAATGAAAAGAAAAAAGTTAATAAAATACAAAATTTTCAACTTCCTAGGTACACTTTTGATGAAATATAAAAATAAAACTGTTTCTTTATAAAATGTTTGTGAACTGAGAAAGTGTTTCTAAAACTAAGTGGAACTAGATGTTAGCCATTAACAATCCGTGTAGCTCATACTAGATTTTATAAAAATTTAAAGGCCACAAACCCATATTTTTGGAACGATCAAGTTGCATTTTATTAAAATTTAAATTTTAAGTTGCAAAACCAAAATCCCCTTTATAAATATTCATTTTTCAGTAATGCTGTTGTTAGATAGGCTAACGCTTAGACTTTGTACTTCTTTAATGGCAATTTATATTTGCACATTGAAGTGTTATATTAAAAAGTAAACTAAACAAAAATATGACATCATGCAATTTTTTTTTTTTTTTTTATTTTTTNAAGGACATATAACAGTTAAAACCCCTTACACAATAATCTATTATACAATACTAGTACGGTGCCGGTGCGAACCACGGGAGCATTTATTATATATATATATATATATTTTTTAAGAGATATTTTTGTATTTAAATTGTCTCATGCCATTAAAAATTTCATGAAAATAAAATTTATATGTTATTAAACACTTCCTTATGTACAACATGATTTGAATTCTTTGGCACGTAAAGTACTATATAGGTGTTCGAATTTATCCAAAATTACATATTATTAGTTATTAGTTCACAAATTTTAAATAAAAATTAAAGGAACAAAATTAAAGTAGAAAAAAAAGTAAATTTTTTTAGGGATTTTCACCCAGTATTTATTTTAAATCTAATTCTAAATTTCAATTAAGAAAAATTGAAAAGAATCATTAGTTAGTCCCGGATATGAAACCGATTTTCTTACCAATAAATCGATTTTTTTATCAAACAAATTGATCCGATTTTTTCTAAACCAAAATAAAAAAAAAATCATCAATTTCCTAAAAATGCAACCAAATTTTCCTAACATTGCACCAATTTTTGTACCAAACAAATTGAATTAAAAATAATTCTAATAAAAAATTGAAATAAATTGTTAATGTTTATGCAACTGTCTCTTTCCTCCAGAAAATGATATGAACTTAATCAAAAAATAAAATGATATGAACTTACCAAAATCTCGGTAAAACATGGTTACGAAAAAACGTAAGAATCCAAAAAAATCGATGCATTTAAATTTTGAAAAGTTGCACATAATTTTTCCTAAATAATTGGATAAGGTGACTTTAGATATCAAAGATGAACCGCTTTTGTTACCAAAAAATGTGGACACGTTTTGAATGTACATCCCGTCCAAATATCAATTTTATTTTAAAATAAAAATTGCATGTGGCTTTATCCAATTTATACAATTTTTTGAAAGAAAAAATTATTCAATAAGATTGGAAGAATTGGTTAAGAATTATACAACTATTTGCTTCCTAAATTTGTATCAAATTTCCACGGTTTTTAAATTAATTTGTATTTAGAATTATTTTCATAAATAATTCACACATTTTTTGCATAAGAATCTCCAAATTTATTTCCAAAAAAGATATGATTTAAATTTTGGTAAAAAAATAAAATATGATACGAAAAATATGAGATTCAAATTTTACCTAAGAATCTCCAAATTTGTTACCAAAAAAATAAGATTTAGATTTTGTTACTAAAGATTCACGTGTGTTTTTTTGAACTTTCTATTAATAGTAAGTCAAACATTATATTTATTTGGTCAAACTTTCTATTGATGTATTTTTCCAACAACCTCTTTATATATATATATATATATAGATATAGATATAGACATAGATATAGATATAGATTGTTAAAAACCACATATATTAGGCATACATTTGATTAATTCAACTCTCTTGTGATAATTTACTAGTACAACACTTTTGAATTACACATAGTACTACTTACAAAATTATACTTAATTTTTTTTTTGAAAAAAAGAAGAACATAAATTTTTTCATCTAACTTTTAAATACTTTTAACAAATACTTCATCATTATTTATATTTAAAATGATACTATTCACTTAAAAAATTTACTCATCTTATATTTTAATATTTTTTTAATTCATATATGATTACTTTATAGATATTTTTCTTAATTGATACAATTTATTAATTTTCAATTAGTGTAATAGAAATTTTATTTTTAATTTAATTTTTATAATGAAGATAGATAAAACTATTTATTCATTTTTTAAATGCAATTTGGATGTCAACTTAATACTTGTTAAGAGATGATTAATTTAATATATCATATATAAAATACCAATAACAAATATAAAATTTATTAATTTTTAAAATATATTTATAATTTAAATTAGTCAAGTAATTTAAATTATAAAAATTCTGTTAAATATAAATAGAAGTCCATATCTACCTGAATTCCATATTCACATGTACTACTTTAAGTCTTATATCTACATGGACTCAATTTTCGAACATAAAAAATTGACGCTAGACCGAAATTTGATTGGAAAATTATGCAGAAGGATAACTTTATTTTGCGTAGAGGCATTATGAACTCTCTTTTAATAATTTATTAAACAATTTTGTTTATCAATCATCTCATTCTACTTTCACACGCATTTTTTTTCAATTATAATTCATATCCAAATGACACATATACACACAATATGTCATACAAATAATCCCCACCCCTACGGTAGTGTTTGGCTCGAGAGATTTAGAGGGGAGGAAAAGGGAGAGAATTTTTTATTTTTCTTTTGTTTGACTTGTAATTTAGAAAGGGAAGGGAGGATAAATTTTAAGCAGTGTTTTAAATATCGTACCGTGGCCATATTGGTCTAGCCACCAGTACGCGGTATTACCGGTAGGACTGGTAATATCGATGGTATTACCGGATTAGTAAATATAATGATATATATATTTATATATAAAAATGTATTATACCAAATGTAAAAAAGTAAAAAAAATAAATGACCATAATCAATAATATAACTTACCAATGATATAAAAATATAATATTCTAACTACCAATTTAAATTTTATGTTTTTAAATTAATATTTTTTTTTAATTTTTTTTAATTTATATTCCAATACCGGTATTTTGGACCGATTTTTTCCGGTATTTACGGTATGATCCCGGTACAAACCGGTATAACCGTAAATCCAGTATTTTATGTACAATTGTACCATACCAATGGCCGGTATCCGGTATTACCGGCCGGTACGGTACGGTATTGAAAACACTTATTTTAAGCCAAAATCCCTCCCCTACCCCAATATTGCTCCCCTCCAAAGTGGGAGAATTTTGAGGGGAAAGAAAATTTTAACATATATGTGAATTATTTTATTATTTTGTTTCTTACATCATTAAAGATATAATTATCATTCATACAATATTTTCTTTTTCCTCTATTATTCTAACCAAACAAAATTTATTATTTTTTTCTCAACTCTTCTCCTACAAAATCTCTCCAAACAAGGTATTTTACATTACTCCTCTCCCCTCCACTTTCTTCCATTAAAATCCCTCCCCTCTCTGCCCTTCAATTTAACCAAACATAGCCTAACATACGTGCCCAAACCTTGATCGCAATAAATGCTCTCAACGAACATATATAAAACCATAGAAACCATAACCAGAGGGAGTATTCCTATTTCCAAGAAAAAACTTTGGAACATCCTATTCGAAATTCTCTCCGATGCTAAAACCACCAAAACCTTAAAAATAACCTAAAGATGGCAAAAAACCCATAAAATAAATTATACTATATTCATCTTTGTTCTAAAATCGAGAATGAAAGAACCGGCAAAGATCCTGACCCAGTTGCCGAAACGGGCCCTCGATCTCGATTGGAAGCTCCTGCTTCTCCTTCTATTTTCCGTCACCTTTCTCGTCTACGTTTCTCTCTCCGCCTCCTCCTCCGCCGCATTATCTCTTTCTCTTAGCCGTTTTTCCTCTTTAAATTCCATATTCCGCGGCCGCGCCCCGCCTACCCGAGCCGAGCCCCGGCCCGGGACCCATCTGAACGGGTCGAGAATTGCCGTTTGTTTGGTGGGCGGGGCCCGCAGGTTCGAGCTCACGGGCCCGTCCATCGTGGAGAGAATCCTCCGGGTCTACGAAAGTTCGGATCTTTTTCTCCACAGCCCGTTGGATGCGAACTCGTTCAAGCTTCTGCTGTTGAACGATGCGCCGAGGATTGCTGCTGTGAAAATATTCAAACCCGAACCCATACCCGAGACCGAGTCGGAGGCCCGGGTTATGGCGGCTGCCAACTCGCCCAACGGCATACAGGTGCATATTTCGTAAGGCTATCATGTTTTTTCCCCTTTACTGAATTTGATTTTTGGTAGGAGTTTGTTGCATTTAATTTGGATAAAGTAATATTAGTTGGTGATCATTGAGTTCCCATTCTTAGATGTCAAGTTTTCTGACGTACTAAATATTTTGCCATAAAAGATGTTTTAGTATTTGGCAATTTGCTAAGGCAAATTAGGTATACATTGGTGGGATTGTTGTATCCGCTAGCCATATTTGGAATAAACTGTACCAGTTATATTTTAGTTGCCTGACAATTTTCTAGTCCCAGACAATTACCAGAAAACGGGCGAGGATCAAGATCTTGATCTAGTTGGGATTAAATGGTTTTTACTTATGCTTGTGAAGGGCCTCATTGGAAGAAAAAACTTAGGAGGCTGAGAAGAGACTAATACTTAAAAGGGTTATGTGCGATCCTTTTATAACGACGATCACAGATTGTGTGTCATTTGGTCGTCTAATAAAAATGATGCAGGATTTCAGGAATATGATATTTTGTTGAGCTGGTGGTATAGGCTTATGTCAGTTTGGTCATTGTGGTCTACTTGAGGCTTCATGGGCTTGTATTACATTATTAGACCCTGCATGTGTTTTGAATTTCGGGCATGGTTTTTTGGGTTCTCTTCATTTTGAAATTTCTGGCCTTTTTCTAATAGCAATTCACTGTGGTCCATTGGGTTTCACTTGAAGTTAGGTGTCTGTATCAAGAATGAAATACTTCTTGATGATTTAGTTGCCTTGTTTGAATTTTGGGGTTTGTATTAGTTGCTTGGAAATGATGGATTGAATGATCAGACAATTGGCTGGTTTATTAACAGTTTATGTGTGCATGTGTGCGTGTTTGTGTGTGTGTGTATGTGTGTTTGTGTGAAAGAATGTTACTTATGATGTTAGCTTCCTAGTAATTCGGGTAGGCATTAACGATATCTCAGTTTGGGAAGAAGTGATAATTGTTTCAAAACAGCATGGAAGATAAATCAGGGTCTTGTCTTTTGGTTGTGACACATTTTGGAAACACCGGAATCTTTTGGAAACTCTGGAATCTTTAGGAAATATCGTACTTATGATTGTCTTCAGCCCTCCTATCGGGTTATTGTAAGCCATTTTCCTGGCTTTTTTTTGCTTTGCATTATTTTGAGAGATGGGTTGATAGACGAATAACGCATGCGTCCATGATTTTTAAGTTAAAGTTGTTTTTTAAAACTATTTACTCATCAGTTATATCTTCAGTGCAGCCTTGCTAAAGATTCGGAACTTTCATAACTTTCTCGACCGCCTTGAGAAATCCTTTAGGAAAACAAGAAAGAAAGTATAGTACATAATTAATTAAATGACTTTTGATTTTCATTCGGTGAGACTTATGTTGCTGGAGATCACTATTTAGTTTGACTTACACTTACCAAATAAATCATTTCCCCGTTGACATTTGACCCTGGCATTTATTTTCTTTTCGAAATTAAAAATATTTTTACTTCAGAGGATATTGCATTTGACCCAGTGGTTTGTTTATGCTATCCATGTGCCCAATTATTATATATTCTTATTAGGTTGATTAGAAAACTATAGTTCCAACTTTCCAAGTAGCTTGGTTTTTGTTCATCAAGAAGAGAATTTGGCTGTTGTTAAAACGAACATCTTGCAATGTTATTGGGAACGCGATGGACCTCTAGCATACATTTTTGTAATTAACTAATAATACCTACTTCATCTAAGGGCAAATTGGTAATTAAACCTGTCGTCCCCCTACTTTTGCAGGGCTTGTTGCAGTATTTCAATCTGGTAGAGGGCTGCCTAAAAATGGTCAAAGCCTACCAAGAAGAGAACAATTTCACTTATGATTGGGTCATCCGAACAAGAGTTGATGGTTATTGGTCTGGACCATTAGGGCCCGAAAACTTCATTCCGGGCCAATATGTAATTCCACCGGGCTCGTCTTACGGTGGCCTAAATGATCGATTTGGAGTGGGAGACTACAACACCTCAGTCGTAGCACTTTCAAGGCTCTCCTTAATCCCTCAGCTCGACTCGGCTGGGTTGACTCAGCTCAACTCGGAGGCTGCTTTCAAGGCCCAACTTACCACCCAAAAGGTCCAATTCACTACTAAGCCTCTCCCTTTTTGTATAGTTACAGATCGTGAATATGCATTTCCTCCGGCCCGTTTTGGGGTGCCTGTGGCCGCGTTGTCTAGCTCAGGCCCACTTAGTGGCGCCAAGTGTAGGCCCTGCAGGCCCGTATGTACTCGATCTTGTGTTGGGCCTGTCATGAATAGGCTTGATCAAGGGTGGAGCTGGACTGAGTGGGCTGGAAACACACTTGAGCTTTGTGATGCACACAGTACGTGGGAAAATGGGTGGGAGAAATTGTTTGATAAAGTTGCTGGGGAAAAACTGGCTTCTGCGAGGAAGAAAGTTGGGGCTTTGGATATGGGCCGATGCATTGATGGATTTGATAGAATGAAGAGACGGACGGCCCATTGGCATGGGACTGCACCAGAGGAAATTTGCAGGCTGGGCCTGAAGTTGAGGTGATGACCAAGCAGATGCATAACACTGTGGGTGTAGTTTGAATTTTCTTTACTTCTGTTTTTACATATTTCTCTTTTGATTTTTTGGGCTTGTAAAGTCGAGGGGTTTTTCAGGTTTAACACACAGATCACATCACACTGCTATTTAGTATATACATATATCATTCTGCACGATTGTATATACTATCTTAGGTTTCATTGTTAGAATAAATATAGAAATTTTGTTACTTTTAAATGGTGCACTCGGGCTTTTGAAATTGGAGAGGAGAAAGATCACATCCTACTTTTCACTTAACTAGTACGTAAACCCCGTGCATCGGCCCACATTGGAAGAATAATATAACCCCACATGCATTAGGATCGAAATTGAAATCATTAAAATACATAGGAACATTGTTGAATCATAAAAAGTTCGATAACAATCATATATTATTAAAAATCTCCTTGTACACAACATTATGAGTTTGATTATTTGGTAACTCCTCATTATCACAAACTAATATTTTCAAAAGAGACAAATCCTAAAAATGAAACTAATATTTTTGGTGAACAAACTAATATTTTAGGAGTTCTAGGATTTGTCTCTTTTTGGTGAACAAACTAATATTTTAGGATTGGTTATATGAATAAGGCTACCCGTTTTTGGTGTTTTTTTCATTCAAACAATCTGATGACTTGTATAATGGAATCCGAATCTTAAGCCGAAATATTTAAAAAAAGAGTTTTTAAAAATTGAAAAGTCAAGGCAATCAGTTCAGATTAATTAAAGGTCAAAGAATATCCGCTCCTTGAAATAAAGACGTATGCTATCATTAACCAAATATCTGGTTATTGATATAGAGTGGTTACCAAAAAATAGAACGCGATAAGGACGCTTCATGGAAATATCAATGAGATAAGGTCATAACAGATCGCTATACATTTTAACGATAAAGCTCAGATGGAATGATTTATGATAATTATGTCGTAATTAATGAATTAATTAGATGTGTGAAAATGACATAATTAATGAGAAGTGTGAAAAGGACATAATTAATGAGAAGTGTGAAAAGGACAAAAACTTACCAGTTTTGGAAAATATTTAATGCAAATCTGACATTGACCATAATTTGACCTACTATTTTGGATAAATGTTAATTCTTATTATATAAGTATAGATAATTTGTAACAAAATTGAAGCATATTTTCACTTTGAAAGTAGACAATTACTTCAGCCGATCCTGATCAAATTCATACTAAAATGGTGATAAGTGGCACATTGAATCATGATACAATATATAGTTTAGACCCAGTGGGAATGGGTCATAGTGAAAAAAATAAGAATAAATAAGTACCATTAAATTCTGGATCCATCAAGAAGAAGAAGAATAAATCAGTATCATTGGATCCATCAAGATGAATAATTCATGATCAAGTTAAATTTTAATAAATGACATTCAAACATGCGATACCATTGGTCCATCAACACAATGGTTATGATCACGTTAAATTTTAATAAGTGATAGTCAAGCATGCATACCATTGGATCCATCAACACAATACTGCAATAGTCATGATCAAGTTAAATTTTAATAAATAATAGTTAAACACTTGAAAACAATACATAGTAAATATGGGTACATATCATAGTCAAATGTGTACATCAAACCACATAATACACAAACACAAACACCACTATGCCTCTCACACACAAACACGCATACACAAACACAGCCTCAGGCCCGCCCGTTCCCCCGCCCACCGCCACAATCCCCGCCGCCCACTGCCACCATCATCCGCCACCTCCTCCATCTACCCCGACGCTTCCTCTCCCGCACGAACAACGACCGCCGGAGACTCGCCGTTACACCGCAAAACTCGCCAATTGTCGGGCTCCATCCTCTCCAAGCCCATCTCCGTCGTCGTCGTTGCCTGTCTCTAACCCCATATCTGTCATCGCGGCCTTAAGAGCAGGCGGAAATCAGAATCTCGATGGCCAATTGTCTTGTGGACACGGATCTGACAGGCGGCGGTGGCGGCAAAATTGAGGTTGAATAGCGTCTGGCGGCACCGCCTTCGTATTCTCCCAGGATGGCGGCGGCCGCAACGCCGAGGAGAACGACATCGTGATTTTTGACAGTGAGGGTTGGAGAGGGTCGACGAAAGACGGGGGAATTGATTTGGGGGGAGGGGGTTGTAATATGAGATAAGCTTTGGGGACATATTTGCAATTTTAGAAGTTTTAATATATTTGCACTTTAGGTTATGTGTAATTTGGCACAATATTGCATAACAATAATTCATAAAATGCACAATACTCTGTGACGATATGCATACTAAAAAACCCGTCATATTTTTATGAAATTTTAGAATTTTCGCCACGTCGCTTAATGTTGTTCATCGGTTGATTCGGTCGAAACTCGAAACAACCAACCGAAATGTCAAAACAGAAACAACCGAGTTAAACTATTGGAAAAAGCTGAACCGATCGAACTTTCGTCCCAAACCTTAAAAGTGAACGGAATTACTTTGGTTTATTTGGTCGGTCGAATTAACTAAAATAACTGAAAATAGATTATAATTTTTATTATAAAGACATATTCAGAGAAGAAGAAGGGGATGTCATGTTCCCATCAACATTGGCATCATCAGAATCGTTGGTCGCGCGAGAATCTAAAGAAAAATAGATTATAAAATGTTTTGAGGAGGATGAATTTGAAGAACGGGAATGGAAGTGAAGAACAAGCATTTGAAGAGCATGAAGCCAAAATTACAAAGGAAAATAAATTAACTAGAATAAACGAAGAAAAGTTACTCATCAACATGGTGGACTTAGAATTTGGTGGGTGACGACAATAAAACGCTGTCGTCGGTGGCGAATCAACAACGAAGGAGGAAAAACTTCTTGCAGGGAGTATATATCATATAGAAAGAAATTTTTGCAAATGGTGAAAAAGTGGATACACAAGGCTAAGGAGCCTATTTATAGGCAAAAGGGAAAAGAATCCCAAGAGATCGAGCGACCTCGACCGTCCGATGAAAGGTGAGATGGACGGGCCAGATTGAAAGTTGAGAAGGCAAAAATGTGGTCGAGTAGGGCCATTCGATCAAGGTTGAAATAGACGGGTAAGATTAAAAAGGTAAGATGATAGGATAGGTCGATTGGATAAAAGTGAAATTGAGTGGACATGATTGCTGCAACATTAATTGGCGCAAAATAAGAGGCGAATATGTTAATAAGACATTAAATTGATTTGAAAGGACGTCAGATTGACCTAACAATGCGTTAGAAATTTAAATTTCAATTTTAAAAATAAGACCTTGGACCCAGGTCAGAGGGATCGTTGGGCAGAAGGAAAAGAAACGTCGCGCTGATGGGTCAGTGAGAGAGGTGGCGATCTTAATGAATACGACCAAAGAAAATTGATTATACTCTTAGATCGAGTTATTTCTACTCGACCATAGTGGGGGGACCATATGATATGAGATACCATACTGGATCGTGAACGACTTAAAGAATAGTTAGACTTGGCTGAATGAACCGGTAGGTCAGCCAGACATGAAGGATACCAGAGGTCGAAAAAGTACCGGTCGATGGCCATCTCATAGGTAAGAGACCTTGCCAACAGGTCAAGATAGGGCTCTCTGCTAGCCTGATGTAAACTCGACCTAGAGGTTTGCAGATCGATTTACGACCTAAAAGTTAGGGTTATCCACTGAAGGACGGGGCAACCTGATTCAAGGGAAGCGAATAAGTAGCACAATTAGAACACCTAATGAAGTAGGCTAATGTGAATACTACATAAGAGATAAATTGAATTTATAATAATGATAAAAAGAAATGAATATAATCAAGATAAAAGAACACGTGGATAGGACCACGTGCCTAGTAGAATTGGAAAGTTTGGGCACCCAGGCAGTACGAACAGATAACTCGGGCAGCCATGCCGGGCAATATTGGATACTAAGGTAACATCCCTATATAAAGGGGTGAAGTATGTGTTAGATATGCTGTAAAAGTTTGGCTTTCAGATATGAACAATACCATTTTGATCTGACAATCGTGTTTTAGTCAAAGTATTTATGTTTACAGTTTATTTATTTATGCAATCACAACTCTATTATTTCACATTGTAGATAATATGGTTCGTCGTGTTGAACAGAAACATCATATTATCGGTTCCTTGTAAACTATAAATTAATAATTCACAGTTTAGACAGATAGCGAGATCCCTGTTGGAAAAGATTGTAGTGTAGTCTTGATTCAGTTGATCTTTGACTGATGGGTTACACTAGTACTTATGATAAGTATTGAACGGACCGCGAAAGGATACAATTATAAGATTTACTGATTGTTATTATAATCTAGACCTTCAGTAATTGTTGCGTACTCTTAAGCTGTAAGATAATATAAAATGGGCACATATATATTCATTACTTACTTATTTGATTTACCAAGGGTGATGTGACGTTATAAATCACTAGTAAGTACCCCGGGCGATGCACGGGACAGAGATATTAAATGAGTTATTTTCACACCCTTGTCTGTTTAAGTCTAAAAAATAAAAAATAATAGGGTTATTATCTATTTTCTACCTTTTTTAATCAACGATAAGTCGAAAAAGCAATAGGGTTATTATAAGTTTTTTATTTTCACATCTCACTAAAACATTTATACTAATAAAAATTTAATTTTAGCATATAAATTTATCCCCTGATATAAGAGAAAATAACAGATTTACTTATTGTTGTTCACTATATAAATATTTAATTATTATTTTATTATATAATAAAAATGAATACTGTTAAATAGTGTAGTAGAATTGTTATAAAATTATATGAATTATTTTTTTACAATATGGATTTAATATATTTTTATGATTTGATAATATAACTATAATATATTCTTAATGATACAATCTGAAATCGGATTACATAGTTTCAATACATAAATAATAAATTTTTTGCTAAAATGATAAGAAGGAAATTTCGATTTCAATCTACAAAAAGTTTGAAACGATTTTATGGGATTTTGTTGACTAAACGGATTTTATGGGATAAAACAAATAGAAGATAAGAAGGAAATTTCAAATATACAAAAAATTAAAGTCGATTTTGTGGAATTTTTTTGCAGGAAAATAGATTGTATGGGAATAGTAATAGCATTAATTGAATCGCATAGCATTACTTTCAATATAAAATAATTAAATAAAATACATGCTAGAAATAGTAATAACATAAATTGCAGTTGACTTTTCTGGATACTA